CTGTCCCTGAGTAAACAATCTTGGCACTCAGTAACAATTCTGTCTGTCCCTGAGTAAACAAATTCTCTGGCACTCAGTAACAATTCTGTGTCCTTGAGTCGATGAGTAGTGGCCCCCCTGACAATTCTGTGTCTGTGCGAAGTAACAATTCTGTGTCTGTGCAAGTAACAATTTTGTGTCTGTGCGAGTAACAATTCTCTGGCACTCAGTAACAATTCTGTCTGTCCCTGAGTAACAATTCTCTGGCACTCAGTAACAATTCTGTCTGTCCCTGAGTAACAATTCTCTGGCACTCAGTAACAATTCTTGTCTGTCCCTGAGTATGGAATTCTGTGGCACCTGAGTAACAATTCTGTCTCTGTGCGAGAGTAACAATTCTGTGTCTGTGCAAGTAACAATTTTGTGTCTGTGCGAGTAACAATTCTCTGGCACTCAGTAACAATTCTGTCTGTCCCCTGAGTAACAATTCTCTGGCACTCAGTAACAATTCTGTCTGTCCCTGAGTAACAATTCTCTGGCACTCAGTAAAATTCTGTCTGTCCCTGAGTATGAAATTCTGTGGTCTGAGTAAACAATTCTGTGTCTGTGCGAGTAACAATTCGTGTCTGTGCAAGTAACAATTTTGTGTCTGTGCGAGTAACAATTCTCTGGCACTCAGTAACAATTCTGTCTGTCCCTGAGTAACAATTCTCTGGCACTCAGTAAACAATTCTGTCTGTCCCTGAGTAACAATTCTGTGGCACTCAGTAACAATTCTGTCTGTCCCTGAGTAACAATTCTGTGGCCCTGAGTAACAATTCTGTGTCCCTGCGAGTAACAATTCTTGTGCTGTGCAAGTAACATTTTGTGTCTGTGCGAGTAACAATTCTCTGGCACTCAGTAACAATTCTGTCTGTCCCTGAGTAACAATTCTCTGGCACTCAGTAACAATTCTGTCTGTCCCCTGAGTAACAATTCTCTGGCACTCAGTAACAATTCTGTCTGTCCCTGAGTATGAATTCTGTGGCGTAACTGAGTAACAATTCTGTGTCTGTGCGAGTAACAATTCTGTGTTCTGAAGTAACAATTTTGTGTCTGTCGAGTAACAATTCTGTGGCACTGTGAGTAACAATTCCTGTCTGTCCCTGAATAGTAACAATTCTCTGGCACTCAGTTATAACAATTCTGTCTGTCCCTGAGTAAACAATTCTCTGGCACTCAGTAAACAATTCTGTCTGTCCCTGAGTAACAATTCTGTGGCAAACTCAGTAACAATTCTGTTGTCCCTGGCCCAGTAAACAAATTCTGGACCGTGAGTGTGATCTGTTAGTAACAATTCTCGCTGTCTGTGCCCCCTGTTAGTAACAATTCTGTGGGTCTGTGTGCCCCCTGAGATAACAATTTTGTGTCTGTGCGAGTAACAATTCTCTGGCACTCGAGTAACAATTCTGTCTGTCCCTGAGTAAACAATTCTCTGTGCAGGAACTCAGTAACAATTCTGTCTGTGGGGGAGCGCCTGAGTAACAATTCTCTGGCACTCAGGGGGTAATATTCTGTCTGTCCCGAGTATGAATTCTGTGGCCCTGAGTAACAATTCTGTGTCTGTGCGAGTAACAATTCTGTGTCTGTGCAGTAACAATTCTGTGTCTGTGCGAGTAACAATTCTCTGGGCACTCAGTAACAATTCTGTGTCTGTCCCTGAGTAACAATTTCTCTGGCACTCTTCTGTAACAATTCTGTCTGTCCCTGAGGTAACAATTCTCTGGCACTCAGTAACAATTCTGTCTGTCCCTGATGATTATGACTATTCTGTGGCCCTAGAGTAACAATTCTGGTCTACCCCTGAGTAACAATTCTCCTGGCACTCAGTAACAATTCTGTCTGTCCCTGAGTAACAATTCTCTGGCACTCAGTAACAATTCTGTCTGTCCCTGAGTAATACCCCCCGCCAATCTCTGGCAAGGACTCAGAGGGGTCGGACAATTCTTTCTGGAGGGAGGCCCTGTAGTAACAATTCTGTCTGTCCCAAGAGAATGAATTCTGTGGCCCCCGTGAGTAAGAATTCTCTGGCACTCAGTAACAATTCTGTCTGTCCCTGAGTAACAATTCTCTGGCACTCAGTACAATTCTGTCTGTCCCTGAGTAAAATTCTGTGGCCCTAATAACGTTTCTGTGGCCCTAAGTAACAATTCTCTGGCACTGAGTGAAAATTCTGTCTGTCCCTGAGTATGAATTCTGTGGCCTCCCTAACTAGCGTTTCTTTGTCCCTAAATAACGATTCTGTGGCCCTCATTAACAAGTCTGTGTCCCTGAGTAATGGTTCTCTGTCCCTAAGTAACTTCTCTCTGTCCCCAATTCTCGTTTCTGTGGCCCTAACTCTGTCCCTGTCCCTAGTACAGGAGCGGTCTGCCTCTGTTCAATGACTGCAGGCAAATGAAGATTTCCAAAATGGCCGCTATATATACCTCGACCATTACACAGTGCTGGCTGGCTGGCTGCTGATTGGCTGATGCGATCACATGTCGTTGAGGAATGCATTATGGGGCAGCGCGCCTTGTCTGCGCGCCTTCCCCGACATCCCCGCTCCGTCGCCGCACATGTCAGCCGCCATTTTCGGAAAAATTTCGATTCGCGCGTCCGAATTAGGCTGTTTTTTCGGATTCGGCACGAATCGAAATTTTTCCGATATTCGACTCGAATTCCACTTCGGATACTTCGATTCGCTCATCTCTATTTATAAACATCGATCAGACGGGAGATAGAGATACAAAGTAACATTGTTTATAAACATCGATCAGACGGGAGATAGAGATACAAAGTAACATTGTTTATAAACATCGATCAGACGGGAGATGGAGAGATACAAAGTAACATTGTTTATAAACATCAATCAGACGGGAGATAGAGGGATACAAAGTAACATTGTTTATAAACATCAGACGGGAGATGGAGAGATACAAAGTAACATTGTTTATAAACATCGATCAGACGGAGATAGAGATATAAAGTAACATTGTTTATAAACATCGATCAGACGGGAGATGGAGAGATACAAAGTAACATTGTTTATAAACATCGATCAGACGGGAGATAGAGAGATACAAAGTAACATTGTTTATAAACATCGATCAGACGGGAGATAGAGATACAAAGTAACATTGTTTATATAAACATCGATCAGACGGGAGATAGAGATACAAAGTAACATTGTCATCAAATTTAAAATCACTGCTGAGCCTTCATGACTGAAAGAACTGAAATCCAATGACTGAAGGGGAGGAGCCGGTACATCTATGCAAGACTGAAGGGGAGGAGCCGGTACACCTGTGCAAGACTGAAGGGGAGGAGCCGGAACACCTGTGCAAGACTGAAGGGGAGGAGCCGGTACACCTGTGCAAGACTGAAGGGGAGGAGCCGGTACACCTGTGCAAGACTGAAGGGGAGGAGCTGCTACACCTGTGCAAGACTGAAGGGGAGGAGCCGGTACACACCTGTGCAAGACTGAAGGGGAGGAGCCGGAACACCTGTGCAAGACTGAAGGGGAGGAGCCGGTACACCTGTGCAAGACTGAAGGGGAGGAGCCGGTACACCTGTGCAAGACTGAAGGGGAGGAGCCGCTACACCTGTGCAAGACTGAAGGGGAGGAGCCGGTACACCTGTGCAAGACTGAAGGGGAGGAGCCGGAACACCTGTGCAAGACTGAAGGGGAGGAGCCGGTACACCTGTGCAAGACTGAAGGGGAGGAGCAGGTACACCTGTGCAAGACTGAAGGGGAGGAGCTGCTACACCTGTGCAAGACTGAAGGGGAGGAGCCGGTACACCTGTGCAAGACTGAAGGGGAGGAGCCGGAACACCTGTGCAAGACTGAAGGGGAGGAGCCGGTACACCTGTGCAAGACTGAAGGGGAGGAGCCGGTACACCTGTGCAAGACTGAAGGGGAGGAGCTGCTACACCTGTGCAAGACTGAAGGGGAGGAGCCGGTACACCTGTGCAAGACTGAAGGGGAGGAGCCGGTACACCTGTGCAAGACTGAAGGGGAGGAGCCTGTACACCTGTACAAGACTGAAGGGGAGGAGCAGGTACACCTGTGCAAGACTGAAGGGGAGGAGCAGGTACACCTGTACAAGACTGAAGGGGAGGAGCAGGTACACCTGTGCAAGACTGAAGGGGAGGAGCTCCTACCAGTCCCACTCTCATGATGAGGTCACTGACCCCGCAGGTGTCCCCACTGGATGATTTCCCTCGGTGACAACTGCAGACATTTTTGGATTTCCTATCACTTATCTCCAATGACAGTGGTCACCAGAGGGGGTTATTCCTAGTGGGGACACTGACAGGGGATCTAACCCCCCCGCCACTCCATAATTCTGACTTCGGATGAACCTCTAGCAGCTCCTCCAGGCTACAATGAAATGTTAAGCTTTGTTGTCACGCAGTCTCTGTGTTCTGTAAGTGACGGGTTGGTGGTGTGAATTCATTTCCCATCTGCCCCCGGAGTAAGGTGTGCCCCTCCCCCCCGGGGTAATACAGTGGATGATATTACATACAGGGCGGGGGTGGGGCTGTGGACAGAGCGGAGGGCACAAAGCCTCTTTCATTTGTTGTAGATGGAGGACAGATGTTCCGTGGCGTCGATGTTCCGTGGCATCGATGTTCCGTGGCATCGATGTTCCGTGGTGTCGATGTTCGGTAGCGTCGATGTTTCCGTGGCGTCGATGTTCCGTGGTGTCGACGTTCCGTGGTGTCGATGTTCCGTGGCGTCGATGTTCCTTGGCGTCGATGTTCCGTGGTGTCGATGTTCCGTGGTGTCGATGTTCCGTAGCGTCGATGTTCCGTGGTGTCGATGTTCCGTGGTGTCGATGTTCCGTAGCGTCGATGTTCCGTGGTGTCGATGTTCCGTGGTGTCGATGTTCCGTAGCGTCGATGTTCCGTGGCGTCGATGTTCCGTGGTGTCGACGTTCCGTGGTGTCGATGTTCCGTGGCGTCGATGTTCCTTGGCGTCGATGTTCCGTGGTGTCGATGTTCCGTGGTGTCGATGTTCCGTAGTGTCGATGTTCCGTGGTGTCGATGTCCCGTAGTGTCGATGTTCGTGGCGTCGATGTTCCGTGGCGTCGATGTTCCATGGCGTCGATGTTCCGAGGTGTCGACGTTCCGTGGAGTCGACGTTCCGTGGTGTCGACGTTCCGTGGTGTCGACGTTCCGTGGAGTCGACGTTCCGTGGTGTCGACGTTCCGTGGTGTCGACGTTCCGTGGAGTCGGTGTTCCGTGGTGTCGACGTTCCGTGGTGTCGATGTTCCGTGGCGTCGATGTTCCTTGGCGTCGATGTTCCGTGGTGTCGATGTTCCGTGGTGTCGATGTTCCGTAGTGTCGATGTTCCGTGGTGTCGATGTCCCGTAGTGTCGATGTTCGTGGCGTCGATGTTCCGTGGCGTCGATGTTCCGTGGTGTCGACGTTCCGTGGAGTCGACGTTCCGTGGTGTCGACGTTCCGTGGTGTCGACGTTCCGTGGAGTCGACGTTCCGTGGTGTCGACGTTCCGTGGTGTCGACGTTCCGTGGAGTCGACGTTCCGTGGCGTCGATGTTCCGTGGCGTCGATGTTCCGTGGCATTGCAGTCTCCTTGCTCTGCGTCTGATTTATGATGTGATTGGCTTAAGGTGGAACTCCAGGTAGATATAAAAGACAATCGTCATTGAATACAAAATGTCCCTGAATGTGACCTGACATGGTGCATTCCCTGTACAGCTGGAGTGTGAGAGGAAGAAGCAGCACAAGGAGCCAATCAGATCATGTGCTGACAAGAAGCCTGCTGATAGGAGGAGAGAGCAGAGTGACAGAGAGATGAGCTCACTAAGTTGTATTGAACCTTTTCTTTGCAGCCAGATGCAGCGGCACGCGCTCAGCATTGACTAGACTAGAATGCCTGTTACCATGAACCCTTACACAGCCAGAGTAAAAACCACGGGGCCCCGGGCCCTCGAATCTCTAACAATATAAACAGCATTACATATCCTGCTAAGGAACAACTCCTGCAAACATTTGTATTTATACTCGTTATTGCTGCCTGCGTCCGAGATGGAAATCAGGGAACTGCCACTTTGGGCAGTTGTGCCCAAATCATGCCCCCCCCAACCGGCTCCTCCCCTCCAGTCTTGCACAGGTGTATTGGCTCCTCCCCTTCAGTCTTGCACAGGTGTACCGGCTCCTCCCCTTCAGTCTTGAACAGGCGTACCGGCTCCTCCCCTCCAGTCTTGCATAGGTGTACCGACTCCTCCCCTTCAGTCTTGAACAGGCGTACTGGCTCCTCCCCTTCAGTTTTAAACAGGCGTACCGGCTCCTCCCCTTCAGTCTTGCACAGTTTCACCGGCTCCTACCCTTTAGTCTTGCACAGGTGTATTGGCTCCTCCCCTTCAGTCTGGCACAGGTGTACTGGCTCCTCCCCTTGAGTCTTGCACAGGTGTATTGGCTCCTCCCCTTCAGTCTTGCACAGGTGTACTGGCTCCTCCCCTTCAGTCTTGCACAGGTGTACTGGCTCCTCCCCTTCAGTCTTGGACAGGCATACTGGCTCCTCCCATACTGGGGGCATACTGGGGTGTATTGGCTCCTCCCCTTCAGTCTTGCACAGGTGTACTGGCTCCTCCCCTTCAGTCTTGCACAGGTGTACTGGCTCCTCCCCTTCAGTCTTGGACAGGCATACTGGCTCCTCCCCTCCAGTCTTGCACAGGTGTATTGGCTCATCCACTCCAGTCTTGCACAGGTGCACTGGCTCCTCCCCTCTAGTCTTGTGCAGGTGTACCTGCTCCTCCCCTCTAGTCTTGAACAGGCGTACCGGCTCCTCCCCTTCAGTCTTGCACAGTTGTACCGGCTCCTCCCCCTCAGTCTTGCACAGGTGAACCAGCTCCTCCCTGTTGTCCATCACAGCCAGTGAGCCAATGCGGAGAGAGTAGGGGGGGCGGGGCTGAGCTGCAACTCTACTTGTTATGAACGCATAGAGCAGCAGCTTGGTGATGAACACACAGTGGTGCCCCCAGGGTGAGCAGATTTCCCAGGGGGCACTGCTTGAGGGGGAGGAGTTAGGAAACCTGAAAAAAAGACGATCGGGGCTGCTCTTTGCAAAATCACTACACAGAGCAGGTAAGTATAACATGTTTATTTAAAAAAAAAAAGTTTTAGCCGCCGGTCACACCGCTGCGATTTAAAATCATGCAATTTGTGCGCAATTTCAGCGCAACTTCAGCGCAATTTCAGGTGCGATTTCTGAAGACTTTATTGCTACTTGTGAAGATTTTCAATGATTTCTTGCAGTTTGCAGAGCGATTTCCATGATATTCTATGGATGTGAAATCTCATCAAAACTGCAGAAAAAGTCACGCAAGAACGACTTTAGAAATTGCGCCGCATTCATTCACTCATTAGATGCGATTTGGGAATGGAAATCACACGGGTATGACTGGGCACTTAGGCTTGATTCACACTCCATGCGATTTAAAATCACGCGTTTTGTTTGACGCATTTTCTGAAGATTTCCCAACGATTTCTTGCGTTTTCCATTGCGTTTTGCAGTGCGATTTCTATTGTAATCTATATGTGAAATCGCAAACAAACTGCAGAAAAAGTCAAATCGCGTCGCAGCAATTCACGTATGTGAAGACACCGACATTCACAGTCATTGGATCCCATATCAGGTATGATTTCAATTCCCAAATCGCACCTGAAATCGCGGCGTTGTGAACCAGCCTTTACCCCCCCGGATACATCAAAGCCGGTTTTGAAATCATGTGACTTATGCCGGCCATAGACGGGTTGAAAATCGGCCTATTTTTCGCCCGGAAAAAAAAAAAAATGGCCAATTTTCGGCCGTTTTTTTGGGTTTTTGCACATTTTTTTATCAGGCATGTTGGAAAGTTTGTGGCTGATTTTGACGATCTCACAATTTTCCCGGCAGTGATGGGCAAATCTGCCAATCGTTTTATCGATAAAAAATATGAGCCGCGACCTGGAGGAAGAAAAAGAATTCCAGTCCGCTGTTGTATTTTATATGAAAGTCTTGCGGTTGCAACAAATGAATCCAAATAATAATAATATGTTTTTGTTTGGATACATTTGTTGCAACCGCAAAACTTTCATATAAAATACAACAGCGGACTGGAATTCTTCTTATGTATTACTGTCACATTGTACGGTGCGCTCCCCTGTCACATGGTATGGTGCGCTCCCACGTCACATTGTACGGTGCGCCCCCCCGTCACATTGTACGGTGCGCCCCCCCGTCACATTGTACGGTGCGCTCCCCCGTCACATTGTACGGTGCGCTCCCCCGTCACATTGTATGGTGCGCTCCCCCGTCACATGGTATGGTGCGCTCCCCCGTCACATTGTACGGTGCGCCCCCCCGTCACATTGTACGGTGCGCTCCCCCGTCACATTGTATGGTGCGCTCCCCCGTCACATGGTATGGTGCGCTCCCCCGTCACTTTGTACGGTGCGCCCCCCTGTCACTTTGTACGGTGCGCCCCCTGTCACATTGTACGGTGCGCCCCCCTGTCACTTTGTACGGTGCGCCCCCTGTCACATTGTACGGTGCGCTCCCCGTCACATTGTACGGTGCGCTCCCCCCGTCACATTGTACGGTGCGCTCCCCCCCGTCACATTGTATGGTGCGCTCCCCTGTCACATTGTATGGTGCGCTCCCCCTGTCACATTGTACGGTGCGCTCCCCCGTCACATTGTATGGTGCGCTCCCCTGTCACATTGTACGGTGCGCTCCCCCCCGTCACATTGTACGGTGCGCTCCCCCGTCACATTGTACGGTGCGCTCCCCTGTCACATTGTACGGCGCTCTCCCTGTCACATTATACGGTGCGCTCCCCTGTCACATTGTATGGTGCGCTCCCCTGTCTCTGCAAGGGACAGAAGTTATGGAGTTAATGCCGGCCATAGACGGGACGAAAATCGGCCGATTTTTTTAACATTGGTGGTAATGTCGGCCAATCGAACGACCAAATTTTCTTTTTTTTTTAAAAAAAAATCGGCCAATTTTCGACCCGTCTATGGCCTGCATTACAGTGAAGTCGCATGATTTCAAAATCAGGTGACCTGCCGATTTCAGTGCAATTTGCAAGACATCTGACACAGAGATCTCTGCGAATCACCACAAAAGTAGCGCACACAACCGCAGCGACAGGACTGCGCCAATAGCAGACAATAGGGTGCGACTCGGCATGCGATTTGCAGGTCTCAGGGCCCGATGTGGCCGGCACTTAGTGTGACTACAAGGTTTGACCTGTTGGGTGTTTACTGGGCGCATCAAAACAATTGGGGAAATCGCTGAGTTCCTGGGAATTGCCACCATTTTATTCTCCGGGGTCTCTGCTTGCAGAAAGTAGATCATTTGGGGGCTTTATCTCATCTTCAGGCCTAACACAAAGCCTGCGCACACAATGCGACTCCCGCCCCCCCGCAGTGAAGGGGTTAATGGGTTTTTGTTCGATGACAAGTTTTGATTTTTCCGGCTCGGCCGCCGTCTCTGCGACATTCTCCTGTCCGGGCGGAATGTCACTATTTGTTTACACAAGCGGTATGTTACCTGGGGTTACTAATCCCCTGATTGCAGCCTCCGCCCCACTCCCCTACCCTCCATTCACCAATGTTTGCTGCCGCACAGGCACGGTGTCCATGTTCCCGGCGCTGACAGGTCGGAGATCACCAATCAAATATTCCTCCCATTGGTTTGTTCTTCTCTTTGGCAGAAGATTCGTCCAGCGTCCGGGCGATGATGACATCACGCTGAGTACACCGTCCAATCAGTGTTCAGAAGGAGATCGTCTGATTGGTTGTCAGGAATCATTGGGGGAGATTTACTAAAACTGGAGCAGACAGAGTCTGTGGCAGCTGTGCATGGCAGCCAATCAGCTTCCAGGTTTTATTGTCAGAGCTTAAATGAACAAGCTGAAGCTAGAAGCTGATTGGTTATTATCAGTGCCAGGACAAAGCCATTCAGCGCCCAGGGCAAAGATGGCGAATTGCACCCCCCCCCCACTCCCACCCACCCAGGTGGAGTCACCAATAGAGCCCCCTTTACATCAGGTGTCCCCAGTGCAGCCCCCCTTTACATCAGGTGTCCCCTGTGCAGTCCCCCTTTACATCAATAGAGTCCCCTTTACATCAGGTGTCCCCAGTGGAGTCCCTCTTTACATCAGGTGTCCCCAGTGCAGCCCCCCTTTACATCAGGTGTCCCCAGTGGAGTCCCTCTTTACATCAGGTGTCCCCAGTGCAGCCCCCCTTTACATCAGGTGTCCCCAGTGGAGTCCCTCTTTACATCAGGTGTCCCCAGTGGAGTCCCTCTTTACATCAGGTGTCCCCAGTGGAGTCCCCCTTTACATCAATAGAGTCCCCTTTACATCAGGTGTCCCCAGTGGAGTCCCTCTTTACATCAGGTGTCCCCAGTGGAGTCCCTCTTTACATCAGGTGTCCCCAGTGGAGTCCCCCTTTACATCAGGTGTCCCCAGTGGAGTCCCTCTTTACATCAGGTGTCCCCAGTGCAGCCCCCCTTTACATCAGGTGTCCCCAGTGGAGTCCCTCTTTACATCAGGTGTCCCCAGTGCAGCCCCCCTTTACATCAGGTGTCCCCAGTGGAGTCCCTCTTTACATCAGGTGTCCCCAGTGGAGTCCCTCTTTACATCAGGTGTCCCCAGTGGAGTCCCCCTTTACATCAATAGAGTCCCCTTTACATCAGGTGTCCCCAGTGGAGTCCCTCTTTACATCAGGTGTCCCCAGTGGAGTCCCTCTTTACATCAGGTGTCCCCAGTGGAGTCCCCCTTTACATCAGGTGTCCCCAGTGGAGTCCCCCTTTACATCAGGTGTACCCTGTGCAGTCCCCCTTTACATCAATAGAGTCCCCTTTACATCAGGTGTCCACAGTGGAGTCCCTCTTTACATCAGGTGTCCCCAGTGGAGTCCCCCTTTACATCAGGTGTCCCCAGTGGAGTCCCTCTTTACATCAGGTGTCCCCAGTGGAGTCCCCCTTTACATCAGGTGTCCCCAGTGGAGTCCCCCTTTACATCAGGTGTCCCCAGTGGAGTCCCTCTTTACATCAGGTGTCCCCAGTGGAGTCCCCCTTTACATCAGGTGTCCCCAGTGGAGTCCCTCTTTACATCAGGTGTCCCCAGTGGAGTCCCTCTTTACATCAGGTGTCCCCAGTGGAGTCCCTCTTTACATCAGGTGTCCCCAGTGGAGTCCCCCTTTACATCAGGTGTTCCCAGTGGAGTCCCCCTTTACATCAGGTGTACCCTGTGCAGTCCCCCTTTACATCAATAGAGTCCCCTTTTACATCAGGTGTCCCCAGTGGAGTCCCCCTTTACAATAGGTGTCCCCAATAGAGTCTCCCTTTACATCAGGTGTCCCCAATAGAGTCCCCCTTTACATCAGGTGTCCCCAGTGGAGTCTCCCTTTACATCGGGTGTCTCCATGCTCCTGAGTTGTTGCCCTTCCCCTCTTGCACTGGGAGTTTGGTACTCACATCATCTCCATCCTCCCTCTGGTCATGTGACATGGGGGACACACCTTCCTCAGCAGTGTGGCACTGAGACTGAGGACAGTTGCCTGTCACAGAGTTGGTTCTTTCCTGCCCCCTGCAGGCTGTGGGAGGAGGAAGCCGAATACTTCCTACAGCAATGG